TCGAGAACACTTACCAGCTTGGTTCAGCAGGGGGGAAATTAAGTGCATAAAAAGCTCGATCCACTCACACTTGGTCGATACTAGACATCGCATCAATGTCAACACAGCTTTCAGGGTTATATACCGAATTCCGAAGTTGTTATCACGTACAGTTCGCTTACGTCTCCTACACACAGCTGAAGCTGTTGCAATAAGATCAACTGAACCGGAACTTTGTATCCAAAATGAACACGTTCCTACCGTGGCCAAACTTGGATTGATGATTCTTCTTCTCACCAAGAGTGCTCCTTCCCCTTAACTCTCTTGGCTTTTTTCACATTGCTTATTTTCATTACGATTATTATTATTAGTCGTCATAATTTATGTCCTTCATGCAAACATTTTCTCAATACTATCGAATTTTCCATTATTACTATCTGGACTTATTATTAGTGATATTATCTCTTTTCTCAATTTATGCCTTCACCTGTTTCATTCCACACATTCGTTATTTCATTATGAACCTGTAATTGCAGTCTACTATTACCATCTATCTCCTCTTTAATACATACCACATTGTACTAGCAATTCACTCAGCTAACACCTTTCATAACCTTGAACTGATTTGTCAATTTACCTACCCCATACTCTACAAATCTATTATGACGACTAATCACCACCATTGTCTCCCATTTTACTGAAATATTTTGTAATCGATTTCAGTCTAGAGCACGTTTGTCTCACACACAAATACGACTATTTATTTTGACACCGCATAACTACTAATCTGTTATTCTACGTTAAAAATGTATCCGCTGCATGACTGGCTATTATGACTGTAACGACCAGAAATATTCTATTTTATAACTGTAAGAACCTGAAGCGGAGAAATTATTGAAAAAAATATTCTTCGTTCAGATTGACTTTTAATTCATGGGATATGGAAATGTTTCATATTATTATATCTTAATATTAGATAATTGACGGCAGTCGGAAGGAAGCCTTAGACACTACCTAGGTTTCGTGTTATTCGGCGCTCACCAGTCACTTAGCAAGAGGTATCTGCAACCTTAGAGGAACGCACGTCCCTTATGAGATTGGAACGTGTGTCACTCAATGCTGCAGACCGAGAGCCTGAATGGCTCAGTGCTAACGTCTCTAACACTGTACCACTGAGTGACACGGATTTGAGTCTCGGAGGGCACATGAGTTCCTTCAAGGTTGTAGATGAGCTTTGTTGACTGGTGGTGGGTGCCAACTAGCACGAAACATAGGTCAGGCGACGCTTCCTGCCGACTGCTTGCAACCATTTAATATCAAGAGTTCACAGTGAACCCTGATGGCCAACCATCTAGTGGCATGGTAGTCACATTAAGAACTTGACTGATAGAATTTTGCCTGCAGCAAACAAAGGAATGAACGCATTACACCAATTACTAACTATTATCCTGTCAAAGTAAGATAGCTTCCTCGCACCTGTCTTCTCTATGCTTAAGCGAATTCCTATCTTCGATGCTTCTTCTGCCATCCGGTGGATTTTAACCTGTAAATTTTCGAGTTTATTTGACATTGGATATAAAGCGTGTGCGAAGTCCAGATTTTCCAGAATCTTCTCGTCCCCCAATATATGCCTGTTTTCCGGCTTTCCACAGTGTGCTGTATGACTCAACCCAATACATTTGGGAATACCGTCGGTGATAGTAGGCAGCTTTGCCTTACTGCTGTATTCACTTTAAACGCTTTGCTGAATTTTCCACTGTGGATCACCTGATATGTGGTATTGTCATACAGCCAGCTGTTGAATGAGGTTTATAAGAGTTTGTGACACTCCACCGTCAACACTGTTACAGGCATTTTCAAAGTCGATAAAGCTGAAATAGAGATTTGATTACAATTCTATGCTCACTTCTATGACAATGATTTGTAGAGTTGTAATTCCGTCTGCACATGATTTTGTTTTTCCTGAATCCATGTTGCTCTGGGAAAAGTTTTACATTCATGGTATCCTCTATTCTTTCCAGGATGATGTGAGTTAATATTGTGGTTGGCATGGAGAAGAGTATGATTCTGTGCCAGTCCTTACCAAGTCTTAAATCGTTCTACTTCAGTAGTTTCACAAGATGGACTTCCTTCCAAACATTTTGCAATAGTGACGTGAGCACCTCTGCTGCTGTTCCTGGGTGCATTTTCAGTGCTTCAGGGGGAATTCCGTCTGGTCGTGCTGCCTTCCCGAACTTCAGTATCTTGATCGTATTTAAGACTTTTGCTTTTCTCGGGGGGGGTGTTGGTGTCCACTGGCAGTTTTTCTGTAGTTGTTGGTGGTATTTCTAAGCCAGTTTCGGGTGGTGATCGGTTCAAGAATCCTTTGTTTTCTGTGTTACTTCTCTTTGATGATTAAGTTAGCTTGAACATCCTTCATTGGCTTCATGTGTGTTGATCTTTTCACGGAAAGAGATCTAGTCATCTAGCATACTATTCAGAGATCTCCTTTGCCTTCTACATATTCTAGTTCAGTCACCAGCGTTTTGCGGTAATCTCTTTTGTCTTTCTTCGCACTCTTCTTCACTTCTTCATTCACGTGAGTTGAAAATTTTCCATATCATTTCAAATTACTGTTCAGAACCATGATTCTCTAAGTGAGGCAGGTATATCCAGATGATGGGACTAAAAGGTAGGACAAAAGGACCTCCTGGTTCCCACTGCTAATCTCAACAAACCCAAGTAGCATAATATTCCAGACACTGTTATATATACATGTCAGTTGAAGTTACTAACTCATAGAATCAATATAATTAATCATTCACCTCTTGGTATGTAAATAATATGACTCAAAAACTCACTAGACAAGCCCTCGAGTGGAACCCGAAAGGGAGGTGGCGAGTTGGTCGTCCAAGGGTGACTTGGAGGAGGTCATGCGAGGAGGAGATGAAAGCATGTGGACAGACCTGGAGCAGGGTGAAAAAGTGATGTTAGGCGTAGAGTGTTGGGCAAAGAGGGAAAATCAATCGACGAGGCTATAAAGTTACATAGACTAAGATGGCTAGGTCACGTGCTGCGCATGCCTAACCACCGCCTCCCCCGACGGGCTTTGCTAGCTGACATAGGTTCAGGTTGGAAAAGAGCCAGTGGTGGCCAAACAAAAACATGGCATCAATCCATGAAATCCTTGACAGTTAAACTGAGTCAGGCAGGGAGATGCAGACTTCCGGGTTGGGGCCCTCGGGACTCTAGGAATCAATGGCTGGAGACTATAGGTGACATGGCTCAAAATCGTTGTCAATGGCTAGCGCAGATGTATTCAGTCTCTGTAATCTTTCATATTCCTTTCTACAATTACCCATTCTGTTTCACTCTTATACTTGTCAAACTCTATTAATTCTCTTCACTCATCTTCTTGTCTACCTCTGTGGGCTATTTGGAACGTGGAAACTCGAACTGCTGCACTTCGGCGCCAAGTTCTATGTTGAATCCAGACAGACAGACAGACAGGGTGAAAAAGTTGTCAGGAAACCGAAGGCAATGGAGGTGCGCAGCTGAAGCCCTATGTTCCTCTAGGAACTAAAGGATACAATAATAATAATAAATAATAATAATTACTATTATTATTATTCCTTTGGTTTCCGCGTCGAATATAAGGCGTGAACAACATATCTCCACTTTCTTCTATTTTCTTTTGACATCTTCAGCCGTGTCCACGATTACACATAATCTCTCATCTCCTCCTCACATTATCTGCTCAATGTCACCCTCGCACTGACGACGATCCACTAGTAGTCGCTTATCACTCAGATTCCACTCCAGCAGTGGTGTGCATTGTGCGCAATGTTATCTGACCGCCTCCTCCTCAACATATTTCCGATCAATCTCCTTTTTCTCCTACATATTTGCTGAGCAGTCGGTTCTCCCCTGTTGGTTTTTTTTAAGCCAGACTTGCTTGTTTTGCTAATTCTTTCTGGCCATTTGATCTTCAGTATGAAGTCAGCAGGGAAGGCAGCTGGTGATAAAAGTTTTTGCAGTACCCTATTGGAAATCCCTTTCGTCAAACACTGATCAAGTTTCTGATGCGTATAGAAGATCTCACTGACTGACTGACTGACTTCACATTGTTGTTGAAGATCCGAATCTTGTTCTTGATACTGAGACGGAGTGTAGAAGATTTCCAAACTGGTTTCAGGTTGATGAAGGTGTACCCTGCCTTTCTGACTGGTTTGGCTTTGACATCGTCATCCGTTCCGAATGCTTGTGGTTGAAATCCCGCTTCCTAGCCAGATAAGTGAAGAAGAGGTGACCGTCTGTTAAATCCCTCTCATTGGTGATGGTGATTGGTGCCGTATTGTTGTCGTTGTTGTATTTGTTGCTGTTCCCTGGTTATCTTCATGACTTTCGTCGTCGTCGTCGTCTTCTCTATGTCTTCACCTGGAGTCATGTCTTCGCTGCTAGTCTCTTCAGACATCTTGTTGGTTTTCGCCTGCCTGAAAGTCTTCGAGTTTCTTAGAAATTAGGCATATATGATCCGCACGCAAAATCCAGATCTTCTAGAGTGTTGTTATCGGTGGTCTGGCCTGTTGCTATCTTTTAATCCCAACGTACAGTTTGGTTGGATAATCCAGTCCATTACAATTAAGAATATCATCTGTGATAATAGGCAACCAGCCTTGTCTATTTTCCAGTATTCACTTGGAATGCCTCAGTGAGTTTTCTGTTGTGGATCACCTGACACGAGGTCGCCTTATAACCAGAAGGTCCTGAGTTCGAATCCCCGCTGTGGGTACATACTGTGAGGAGTCCAAAACTAGGTTGACGAAACAGCTGTCCAGTACTCCCTGTAGATTTTTCAATGGTCCTCTAATCGATGTCAGCTTATATGATGAAATCCTGTAACCAATCAATACAAATCCTTACAAACCAACACTTGAATATTCGATGTGAAGTTTGCCTTCTCACTTGTATGTTATAATGAAACCTTCGCATAATCTCAAGGCATAAACGGTTATTTGTTCTCTCTTTTTTTCTCTTTCTAGGAAGTTATGCAGGTGAATACAAAAATGGTGTTCGTGAAGGACTTGGTGTCCGCCAATCGATACCATATGGTGAAGTGATAAATTTCTTTCCTGAAGAAGCTGCAATCGCCGCTGAAATGGCACTGGACATGAAAAAGAAGGCAGCTCTACAAAGTCTACTGCATTCAGCTCATCATAGTCATGGTGGTCATCACCATCATCAGCAGCAACAACATTCTCAGCAACATCATAACTATCAGAATGACAATCCCAATATGAACAGTGGTACACGTCGGGGGAGTTTAATTAGTCAGAGATCAGGTGATGCAGCTGAATTAGAAGATTTTGATTTAAGCGGACAAGATGATAATGAAGAGGAGCCGTATTCAGGCAGACGTCCAAATCCATCTGCTGGTCATGCTAGTAAAGATTTCAAAGATTTACGTATGTCGTGTAAATTCAAATGTGGCTTTGTCTTATCCTCACAACGTAGTGAATTAATGCTGAGACGTCAACAAAAGTTGAATCACTCTGGGAGTGGATCATCATTAGCGCGGAATAAAAAAGAAGCTGGTCGACGGGCAAAGTCATTGACAAATCTTTTCAATCGATCACTTAGTAAAGAGTCTATCGCTTGTGTACGACGTCAAGGCAGTGTAACAGAACGTTCAGCACGTGCTGTGCCTAAATTTCAACAAACACCTGAATCAGTTTTCACTTTGGATCAGGTAAGCTGATCATGGGATCATATTTTAGCAGTTTTTAAAACTATTATTTTTTGAAAATTAGGGCCGGAAAAAATCGTTCGAAGACCAATAGTACTACCGTGTCCAAATAGTGGGAAAATTAGCTGCGAAAACTGAATACATCTTAAGATTATTCAGAAAGTTGGTTGAATGTATCAAACTGAAAGCATTCTTTCTGACGGCAGTGAGGATAATGGAGTGTGAATGTTAGAGGTCAGACCATGCAACTCGAAGAAATGATTACTAACTCATAAATACGATTACAGCCTTATAAGTTCTCTGAGGTTATTATTATTATTGTTCCTTTGGGTTCCTAGTGAAACATAGGGCTTCAACTGCATATCTCTACTTGCCACTTCTGTCTCGTGTTGCTGTGCTTTTCACCTCCATCCATGTTAGTTAGTCCATACTGTTTCAACTCCTCTCTCTTCACACGATCTCCTCCATGTCACTCACCCTTGCACTGACGTCCCACTCTCCGCTTCCTTTTCGGCCTGGTTCCACTCGAGCAATGGCCTGACGCGCGCAATGTCACCCAGCGGCCTCCTCAGCGAGTGTCCAATCCATCTCCACTTTCTCCTGCATATCTGTTGGTTGGCGATTGGTTCTTGTTTTGTTTGTTTGTTTGTTCCCAGCCATAGTTTCTTGTTGGTGATTCTTTCCAGTCCCGCCATCTGATTTTCAGTATAGAGCCAGCGAAGACAGTTGTTGGTTGATAAAGGTCTGCAACAGGCTGTTGGAAATATTCTTTGTGACCCGCCCGCCCGCCAAGTTTCTGATCCATCCGTATAGAAGAGCTGACTGACTTGACGTTGTTTGTATTGAATTGAATCCGACTGAATTTTGTTGTTGATGGTGGCTGAGTGACGAATATTTCCTACCAGATTGATTTTAGGTCGATGAATGTGTTTCTCGTCCGCCACCCGATTCTCGCTCGATTTGACATCCTCGTCCGTTTCGACTCTGTGTAGTTGAGACAATGCTCCCTAGATCAGTGAGTGAACGAAGTAACCTCTTTCAAATCCCTCCCGTTGATGGTGATTGGCGCTGGATGTTTCTGCTGTCGTTGTTGTTGTTGGTTGGTTGGTTATTTTCATAACCTCCATCTTGTCTATGTTCACATGGAGTCATGTCTTCGCCGGCTGCTTCTTCGACCGACCAATTTGTCGGTTTTCGCTTGTAAGTCTTCGATTTTGTGACAGTAACATCAAACATAATTCATCCACAAGCGAAATCCAGGTCTTCTAGGTCCTTCACGTCGGTCGGTCCAGGATATTCCTGTCTTCTCGTTTCCCACTCACTGTCTGACGCATAATCCAGTCAGTCCACCACAATTAGGAATATCATTGGTGATAGAAAATAAGCATACTTGTCTGACTCCTGTGTTTACTCCAAACGCCTCGCTGACTTTTCCGTTGTGGATGACTTGACATGTTCCGTTGTTGTACAACTGTTGAATAAGGTTGATGAATTTTAGGGCACGCCGAAGTCCTCGAGTAGTTTTTTGAGGTAAAATACTATTATTTAATTGAATTTTAGATTTTCCCGTCGATTGATTGGACCGAAGTACATGCTCTCAGTTTGACATATCGGCTTCTTGTGCAGATGCTTCGATGATGTCTGGATATTGAGTTAGAAGTTAATTAATTGGTTGATGGTGACTAGCAGTGGAATCCAGGATAACGCGCATTTCGTCATATTTGGGAATCGTCAATTGGCTGAATGTACCTGCATTCCACAGTGAATGATGATGTTCCCACTGAGTGTAGAACTCAGTGCCCATAGTTTCAAACGCATCTGTGCAAGAAGCCGGTATATCAATCTGACGTCGAGCACTTCGGTCCGATCAACCGACGGGGAAATCTAAAATTCAATTAATTAATTAATTAATTAATTAATATGACCCGTTGCACAAGAGGCAGTGGCTCTCGTGGCCCAAGTGGTCTAGTGGGTAACGCTTTGGGGTTTGAAACCATAGGCACTGGGTTTGAGCCTCAGTGGTGAGAGCATCATCACTCACTGAGGAATGCAGGTACATCCAGCCACCAGTGAGTCCCAAACAGGACGAAATTCGCATTATCCTGGATGAATTCCACTGCTAGTCACAATCCACCAATTAAAATACTATCAAGCTACTAAGTATTCACTTGGGGGGATTTGATTCGTTACAGGTCTAGTCACGATCTGATGTCAGTTAGAGAACCATTGAAGACAAGCAGGATGTGCTGGATAGCTGTTTCGTCCCTTGTTCAGGACTCCTCATCAGTATTTGTTCAAGCTGCTGGGACTGCATAGAACAGGGTGAAACTATAATCTCTTGCTGCTGACGTATGTTCCACACAAAAGGGAAGAGGAGTAATAACGATAATATTATAATAATTCACGTATTTAAACTGTTAACACACCTAAAACTAACTAACTTTTCAAATAGTTACAGGGATAAATTTCTTAACTTTGAATAAATAACTGTTTTTCAATTCAGCTCTGTCCAGACAATTTGAAGTTAAATTTTAAAGGTCACTCACTAGAAAATGCTTTTTTTCAGATGTTAAAAACACCACAAAATTTCATAGTGAAGAATATTATTTTTTCTTACTAAAGATTTTAAATGAACGATTTTACTGATTATTAAGGGATAGATAGATAGCTAGCTAGCTAGATAGATGGAATGAAGACACGTGATGATTATTGATCGATACTATTACCGTTGCTGACCAGTCAAACAAGACTTCTCGTTAAAATGTAGCATTTGTGCAAAGAACTAATGTTCTGTGCATTGATCAAGAAGCAACATCAGTTAGAGAATTACTGGGAAAGCAGCTGGGACTGCTGGACAGCTATTTTGTCCTACTTTGTGACTCTCCATCAGTGCACACACACCTCGGGATTGGAATCCAGGATTTTCTGTGTACGAAGTGAGGTCATAGACAATTCAGTCAGTGGGACTCGACCCAATGGTCCATTCCTGTAACCAATCAAATCCCGGCAAACTGACGCTTGAGATTAATAAATTTGATGGTCACTAGCTCTGGCCCCATACAGGAAGTTACCTGGGGTTCTAGTGAGAATTCGTATCCATTTAGAAACATCAAGTCATGCAAAAGAGGACGGTTACTCATTCGGGAAAATGGCTAGCGGTTTCACTATATATATATATATATATATATATATCAGACTGACAGAATTTGAAATTCACAGGCCATTGGGTTGGATCCCGGTGACTGAGTAGTGTACAAGCCCACTTCACAAACGGAAGGTCCTGGGTTCGTACCCTGCTCTGTGAGGGCCTATTGCTGAGCACCCCTAAACCTGAACAGAGGAAACAGCTGTCCAGCACTCCTGGATGGTTTTCCGATGGTTCTCTAACTTATGTCCCTACGTTATCAACTCTGTAACCCATCAAATCCCTACAAAGTAATGGTTGATCTTATGTATTCCGTGTTGTGAATAAATAACCTAATGTAGTCAGTATGAAATATGTGAACCCAGTCAGTTTCTTTTCGAACATCTCTTTATTTTAGGGAGGTAAAATCAGTTATTATTATTATTAGTTCCTAAGCTTCCAGGTGAAACAGGAACCTTCAACAGAACATTTATATTTTACTATGTTTCTTGCACAGTCTTTTTTGGCTTTAGAATTGTTTATAAGCTGTCATCTCCCACTCACATGACCTCTTCTATGTCAACCGCAAACCCACGCTTAACTCGCAGCCTTCCATTCACCTTTTTCTTGAAGGCAGCCTACATCCTGTTAGAAATAATTGTCATGACGTCCGCGCTAAGTGTCTGAACCATATACAAGCAATAATTCGATGTCAATGAATGCAGGAGACTTTCAGACCGATTTCAGATTAGTGAAGGTCTGTCTCACTTTTTCGATCCTCGTTTGTTTTAACATCCTCATCCGTGCAGACTGCCTGTAGTTAAAATAATGCCGCCTAAATAATTGAAAGAAGCAATCATCTTCAAATCTTAGTCACTGATAGTGACTGATGCTTGTTACTGTTGTATCTTCAGTATCTTCATCATTTCTGTCCTCTCTATGTTCGTGTATCGTTCGAAGGACTGCTGAAACTGGAGAGTGTATCACACAGTGTAGAACTTATAAGGCTTTAAAAAAAGCTAGTGGTCTACCTCTAATCCAACTAGTTGTAACTGTCAGTTGTACAGGCCAGCATACTGAAAGCCTCATACTGTTAGATGGTTGGAGGCAATCGGCCACCGGAAGCCTTGGACACCACCTAGGTTTCATGCTAGCCTGAAATCACCAGTCAGCAACGCGTATCAGCAACCAGCTTGAAGGAACTCATGTCCCTCCTCCTGAGATTCGGACCCGCGTCACCCAATGCGACCTGAAGTCAGAGACGTTACCACTAAGCCATCTAAATCATCAGATCAGTGGGCACCGTGATGGCTAGCTACCTAGAATGGTGGCGACCATCCTCTATTTTTTCTTGCATATATGTTGAACAGTTGGTTACTGCTGGGTTGGTTCGTTCATTGCCAGAGATGCCTATTGCCGATCTTTTCTAGTTGGTTATCTGATCTTGAGTAGTATTGAGCGAAGACAGCTAGCTGTTGATGAAGGTCTGTAGGTTGTTCGAATTGGCTTTTGTGACGCACCATGTCTCTGATCCGCACTGACTTCATTATTGGAGTTAAAAGCCGGATAGCTTTATCATCTATGGAGAAGTTAAAAATACTCACTTCACACTGAATTCAACGTTGAAGTTGTTGTTCGAAAGGATAATGGAACTTTTACAATTACACTAACCAACTCAGAGAGTCCAACTATACTAAGAACAATCGCAATGCTTGTTGAGTATTTAACTCTGGCTGCAGCCGTAATAAAAGCCTTGAAATCACATAGCCTAGTTGAGATAGCAGAACTACACCTAAAACGTCCACCTGAGCTAGGAATCTTCCTCATCTTCTTGAAAGCGTGAGATCTTAAAGTAATACGGTGGATGCTGACAAGCAGT